TTCTAATGGTGTTTGTAAGTAGGATCACAAGTCTGCATCTTGTACAGCAATTAACCACTAGGAAGAATGTATGCAGTGTATTATTTGTTGAAACTGTACTTTCTATTTGATTTGAAACTGTCTCTTTGCTATATGTTTATCAATAAAACTTTGAAAAGAAAAAAAAACAATAGGGGACCTCCTTGTCCTTGCATTTTCACACTGCACTTACTCTGTAGGAGGCAACTTTCATTTTCATACCTATACTATTTTGGCTCTCACCATTATATCAAATATGTTTTGGTTTATGTAGCTATACTTAGAGGATATTAAAATATTCTTTACCAAACTCCCCAGGGTGAAGCACATGATGAAGATTCGTCCAAGGGTCGTCCTAGCCACCACATCTCCAAATCCAACAGTTGACATTGTTGCTAACACCACATACATGGAATCGAAATAAGATATATTCTGTGCATTTTTACCTTTGAGCCAGGGATCGCCAGAATTCTCCACCTGTCCAAAGAGAGAGAGAAAAAAGATATCTTGGTCTTAACCATCCAGCAGAAAAGTATAAAAATGAGGTAAAAAAAAGTAGAGCCATATTAATATGCTGAGCCATAAAGGACTCAAAGTCAACAACTTCTGACATTGCCAGTTCTATGGATTATCCACTACTATTATGGACTAATGGACTATATTGGATTATTTTGCTGAATTCATGCACGTACAATATTTAAATGGCAATAGAATACCCATCTCTGACAAAACTAAACAAAAAAGGGTATACAAATGAAGGACCATTTCGTATCTGCATATACAAAATAGGATAAATATACAGCTACTTTCTCTTAATTCAATGAGAAAAAAGATTTGTACTAATAGTGTTTGGACAGGATATCATGTCTGCATTTTACACTATGAAGAATCACCAAGAAGACAACAATATGCAATGTATAAATTATTGAAACTGTCCCACTAATCAGTTTTGAAACTGTCTCATTGCTATTTGTTTCTCAAGAAAATTAATAAGAAAGATCTCTGAATATAACACAAAAGGTCTTCTACAAAGCATAGGGAAATTGCCGGCCTAATCCCACTTCATTCAGTTCAGATGAAAGTGATTTTCAGGCTGTTGCGAAGGTTTTGCAAATTACAAGTTGTGGTTGGAAAGACAACCACAGTTTTCCTTAATTGTGATTACTGCTGAAATCTGAGGGGGGGCCACGTTTGTGTCCAGCACTTAGATCGCTCTGTGGGGCTGGTGCCTCCTCCTATCCTTGCATGTAGCACAAAGTTGCATCCAAAAGCCCCGGGACTCCCATAGCTCTCAGATGGAGCAGTTGCCATTTGTTCTCCTTTCCTAAGCAGATCAGGAGCATCATTAAGGAAAGAAGACGAGTGCTCTATTCCTGTGAGCTTAAGCATGTGAATACTGGTGTCTAAAGAAAAACAAAGGAGTCTTCTAAGTTAGTCTCTCATCCATGCAAAAATCTTTTATGATTAAAAAAGCTCTGAAAAATACTTTTCTTGAGAATTCTTTCCCTGAATTTTCATGTTTTAAGGAAATTATATTTATCATTTATTATCAATTTCATATTGAATAAATGGAATAATAGTTACATTTAAATTATATATAAATTTGTTAATACAAATTTTCTATAATATATAATGTCATGAGTGGATGCTTATAACTTGGTAGTATATATTTGCCCATAATTTTTCTTTCTTATAATTTTCAGAGATTTTCTTCCATATTGTTCATATTTCCTTGGAGATTTCTTGGGGAAAGGAGGTTTTTTGTGTTGTTAAGGACTGGTATGGAAATTAGAAATGGGTTTGATCTTTTTTTTTTAAAGTGATGTGCCAAATATAAACCATTTCCTACATTTGATTGGTGGTTTGAGCATGTAGATTCCTATAATCCCTCCCTTCAAAATAGAAAAGATCTTGTACACCTGTACTTTTTACTCTCAAAGTTTTTTATTTCATTTCATGTAATTAATTTAGTATTTTTTTTTTTTTTCTGTGTTTAGGGCTGAGTCTACAGGGTGTTCAGGGTCTCACTACTAAATCAAACTCACAGTAATTCACCTGTTTACAGCTTCCAAAGTGCTGGGATTACAGGCATATGCCACCATGTCCAGTCTCAATTGCCGGCTCAGAGTGCCCCTGGGACAGGGCCATCAAGGCAGGCCTGCGGATCAAACTCCGGGCCCTTGAGCCTGCTTACAGGTGCTTTAATCCACTAAGGTATGTGGCTGGCCCTCTATTCTCAAAGTTAACAGTAAATGTTTTTTATAAAGTATACAAGTCTGCTTCCAGTAACTTCTGGAATTGTTGCCATATTTTAAAACAATAGCATATCACTAGGAAAACAAGTTCATGTCACACGATTTAAATCCTGTAATATTTTGGAACATTTTCCTTAAGGCTAAAACTCCATAACCTCTTTATGACATCCCAGTGTGGGGTTTTCTCCTGAATAAAATGTCATAAAGACCAAAATCAAATTGATTTCAGTCTGCAAATCTTCTCCTCAATAGTTTGAGAAATGCTTTAAGGTTTAACTTGTCATCTTTGGGAGTCAGTTGCCAAATGCCTTCCCTGTGATCCACCATCTCTCTAAATCACCCTTCTAGCTCCTAGGAGAAGAGGGTGGCTGTCCTTCATCTGGTCCACAGTTCCCTCAGCTCTTTCTTTTTTTTTTTTTTTTTTTTTCTGAATTTAGGACAGGGTCCCCAGGGTCTGCAGAGTCTCACTACATAGATGAGACTCATAGGGATACTCCTGTTTTCAGTCTCCCAATGCTGGGGTTACAGGTGTGCTTCACCACACCCAGTGTCCATCACTGTCTCAGCACACCTTATGGGCAGGGCCGGTACATTGTAGTTGTACATCTTAGTCTGTAACTATAAGGTCCCTGCTTATGTCACCTGTATTGTAAATTCATTCGCTAGCTTTGGTCATGCTCTATTTTGAATTCCAGGCTTTGATTCATTTCCTATGTGGCTGGATTTTGTCAAGCTACATTTCTAAAAGGGCATATGGGTCCTCTTTGGGCCTGCATACTTATTATGACAAGACTGACTATATTCCTTTCACAGAGACATCATATACTTTTCTATCATCTTCAGATATCAATCAATATGCCCAGGAAACCCAAGGTTAATTTCTTTTGCCCCTTGTATGGGCTTTGCTTTGTTCTGCTCTGATTTTCCTTTTTATCCTCAAAGGTCAGTAACTGCTCTACAAGACAAGTGGGATTAATAATATAGGATCATTTCAGCTGAAATACAATATAGTACAGTTTTTTGTCCTTTTGTTTGGGAATATTTAGTCTTGAATCGTTTTACATTTTTAATAACAACTTATTCTTTAAATATGGAAGCCTTTTTCTTAACTTTTCCTTTGTTCCCTTGGGCAAATATAATTGTAGTTGTTGATTTCATTGATGCTATATTGTGTGACTACTGTTATACTGGCATCTTTCTACTCTTTATGATATGTCTTTGTTATTTTGGACAGAATTCATGATTCGGCACCATACTGATTCTTTTCTAGTTAATACCAATCTTTTTAAGTTCTGTCAACTTTTAGCTGAAGATCACTGTGAGTATGGGAAGATGGTGAGTTCGGACACTCACAGCTTCCATATTAATTTGCATTTCAAATATGTTTTCAACAAGATCTACTCTTTCCCTCCCTTTGGGTGAAACTCTTGTAGATTTCTTTATATCGTGGAAATTAGTGTGACTCAAAGCAGAGCCCACTAGTGCACAACCCATCTGACCGCTGCTGTTTTCTGTAGGCATCCTGGCTGGCGTGGCCTTGTTAGGGAGATGAACATCCAGCAGCTCACATACTGAGGAAGAGAGTGGAGCAGGCAGGGGCCATGCCCAGCCTATGAGCATCTGCCATATAGCACAGGAAGCAGCTCTTCTCCAGCTACGACACTTAGAGGCCTTGGGAAGGAAGAGATGCCAGACTATTGCATTTTCCCAAAGAATTCAGAAATCCAAGTTTTTACCTGAGCTGTCCATACAACTTAACAACTAAACAGCAGAAAGCAAAATAAAGTATAAAGAGTTCAAATGAATTATGACTGTAGGCCTGAGAGCCTTTCATGCAAACTGCTATTGAAGGCAGAAGAGGATGACTTCTCTCTGCGCATTCTGGGATAAGGCCAAAAGTCGTGACACAGCAGGGCTGTCCTTTCTCCCCTGATATCTCAGGATTGAAGGTGCACTCCCTAAACTCAGGTGTCTGCCTACACTGGTGACACCTCTCCAGAAAATAAGTTTCTCTCCTGCGGGAATCTGGAGGAGGGGTGTGGTTAGTTTCTTTGGAGCCCTATTCCTTGAATTCACAGAGTTTTTGACCTTTTTCTTAATAGGCTGAGGATGATAAGTTCTTGTTTTCTTTTTTAAATTTTTAAAAATATTTATTTATTTATTTGGTACATGGTTTTGCTACACAGTCCTGACTTACAGTGATCCTCCTGTCTCGGCCTCCCCAGCACCGGAATTACAGATGTGCACCATAATGCCCAGTCTCTGTGACTTGCATAGTATGCCTGGGGCTCTGGGGCTGACACAGCCTGCGGAACAGAGGATCAAACTCAGATCCTTGTGCTTACCAGGCAGACACTTAGACTGCCAAGCTATCTCCCCAACTCTTTGCTTTTATTATTATTATTATTGTTGTTGTTGTTTTAATTAATCTTGAGAGATATAAGTCAAAGGAACATCTTTTTTCTGTTGGTTTTATTCTCAAAGGGTTTTACAGGTTTGTAATATCCTGTTCCAACTTCTAATTTCTAATGAACTGGTCCTCAACTTCTGCAAGCATTGAAGCCCAGGAGTTTATTTTCTATTGCTGAAAGCCATTTACTATGCTGCTTATTATGTGAGGTTGGAACCAGCCTTCTGTAAGCAAAGGAGGCAGGGAGGGATACAATTTTAAAGGCCCAGGAAGGGCCCGAGCTCACTCTTCCAACAGTATTTCCTCTCCTAGAACTTCCCAGCTTTGTGTAAGTCCAAAATTCCCTAATTGGCATTTTCCCCCCTTTTCTCTTTTGCAGCACTGGGGATTGAACTCAGGGTTATGTATGCTTTCCATGGAATCACACCCATAGTTTGGCTTTATTTATTTAGGGTCTTATTGTATAAATATATATTTTAGCCCCAGAACTCCAAATCTCCATGAAGTCTTATCAGTAGATTCTAGGTGTTGCTTGCACTATAGATCTCAGTAAGTCTTTCCTAAGAGCAAATTTTGAAAGTTGAAAGAGGAACAAAGATCCTTTGGAAGACACATGCTTATCATGAATGTGATGGTGGAAGAAAAGCTAAAACAAGAGAAAGGGCAAAGCTAAATTTCACATCCCTATGTGTTCCTTTCCAGGCTTCAAAGGCATATGCTTGTTAGGGCTGAGGGCTGGGGCTGGGGAGCTTACCAAGTGGATGAATCCTGCCGCGGTGAACCAGGTGCTGAGGAAGATTGATAAAACCTTGGAAAACTTCACTGAGTTACTAAAGGAAGAAAGGGGGAAAAGTGCTGTTGCTTCTCCTCCAGCAGGTTTCAACACTATGCAGACATCGCATGCTCTAAGACCTTGCTCATGACTTAAACAGAGGCTCCTGACCTGAAGTGATGGCATTCCTGGGAGGTTATGGGGAGGAGGCCTGCACGCCAGCCTCGTCCTCACCTGCCAGGCTGCAGCATGGCAGGGCCAGCTGCCTGATGCTTACATGCAGCAGAGCGAGAAGCACAGCTCTGGTGCTCATCTGCTCACACACATTTCTTAGAAAATTGTAGACGCTGCTGTCACATTCACTAGCTGGGTGTTTCACTGCTTTAAAATTACATGGTATTCAAGTCAATGTAAGATAAATTTAGTGAGCCATTATGTTGCCTAAGGTGACTGGACAAAGTGTGTCATGCCAGTTCAGGGAGTAGCTTGTAAACCTGAACTCTGAGTAGCTCGCAGAAACACTCACTTAGACTGATGGTCTCATGACAGGGCTTTAAGGCTGTGAAGGGATCAGCAGTGCTCTTCTTGCTAAAAGAAAGCCCTAGAGTTTAGCTGACATGTTTCAGCTTTCAGGTAAGGCCACCTCTCAAGCCTGAATGACCTTTTCTACCTTGATCTCTCCACAACGCAATCCACCGGGGCAATGAAATCCACCTGGTGATGTTTGATATTTCTAATAAAAATGCAGAGGTGTAAAGAGTTCTAGCGGAGAACACAACAATGTTTCAAATTGTAGATGTATCGGTGCTCAAAAGTAGTTTGGTGCTTTTGTTTCCTTTTGGTGGTATTGAAGTAACTTTTTTTTTTCTTTTTAGATAGGGATGAACCTAGCATCTCCCACCTGCTAGGCTCTGCCCCGCCACTGAGCAGCACCTTTAGCCTGTGTCTCGGTTCGTGTAATCAGAACCTCTTGTGCTCACAGGAAGTGTGTAATTACACTCTCAAACCTGAGGACAAGGTTCTTACTAGCTTGGAGAGACACGATGATTAAACAAATGTGGAGAAACAAAGACTTCAACTTGGCTGATTTGAGATATGCATGAATATATGCATATGTGGCACACATTGGTCAAGAGACCTGGAATTAAAATCCAAACGAACTTGCACATTGTGGCTTTCTAAGGCAAAGATAAACAATGTCTTTGAAATGATTAAAAGATGTTGATTCAATGTGTAATATATGAGTAACCTCAGGGATGTTGAGGGAGTCTTCAACTATGGCAGAGCAATTCTGATGAGGCCTGAGTGAAGTTTGAGTCTAGGTAGCATTTTCACTTCTTATATGAGCTACTAGGCTAGTGAGAAAGGCTGGCACTTACCTAGTCTTGATGGCTTGTAGAATTTGCAAAATTTGAGGGAGTTCTAACAGCCGCAAAGCTCTTAGGAACCTTAAACCTATGGAGGAATCAAAAGGAGAAAGCTGCCAAAAGAGAAGGGTCACTCTAAAGGGTGGCCTGAACTGCAGCATAGTCAGAGCTGTGGGCATTCCTCGCTCCCCCTGGTGTTCTAACCTAGAGCGTAAGAGCAGCATAGCAGTAGAACTCTGAGAGCACGGGCTGAGGTTCAAGTCCTGCCCTCAAGAGTTCCTAGTCATTGCATGGAAGGCCAACCCAGTACTTCTATAGTTCCTTATTTGAGAAATGAGAATTACAATCATACTTACATTAAACAATTGTAGTATCTGTCTAAAGCATATTGAAGCATGCCTTGTGTATAATAAGAACCATTTGTTGACTCTGTCCAATTTTTTTAAACAAAATTTTCCATAAACCAAGCAAACTCCTGAACATTCAATCTCTGTGAAATGTTGTTCCTCAACTTTTATTTATTTTGTCATTAATCATAGTTTGAAATAGAACTGTTACATGCTTTACAGGCAGAGGTAAAATATAAAATTATAGTAAAAATTTTTAAAGCTAGTGTTACAGTTTGACTCTAGGATGTCCTCCAGAACACTCACGTGTGTGGAAGGTGATGGGGCCAAGGGAACCAGATGCACCAGTCAGTTCATCCTCTAATGAGTTCAGCAGCTGGGTCCTGAGTTCAAGTAGGTTCATGGAATGTGGCTTGGGAGTGTATGTCTCTCACCTGGCTCCTTCCTACACCCTCTACTTTCCATCACCATGACTTGAGCATTTTGCCTCTGCAAGACACTTTATCTGTACTCTTCCTGCTATGGAGTCAGCCAACTCTAGCCTGACTCCTCAAAACACCTTGAGCTGAAGTACACCTGTCCTCCCTTAAGTTCTGGCTATTATTAAACATAACAAGGGACAAGAACATGACTAGGACAGCTTGGGTTCACCTAAAACACAAAATAACTAAATCCTTCCCTAACATGACTCAGCATGTGTGGACATGATGAACAGCTTTCTTAATACAAGAGAAATTTCTCACCCTGTCCATGTGGGACCCCAGCATAAAGGTGCCAAGGGATAGGATGCTGGAGCCTCCCCTCTCAGATAGTTCCACATCCTTCCCACCAGCTACTATTGAATCCTACTACTGCAGGGGCTGGTGTTGGGGTAAGAAAATGGTTTCTGATATAGCACAGAAATAGACAAATGGAGGGACTGTTAAAGTGGCAGACAGGCACCAAAGGAAATTGAAAAATACAAATCCACAGAGAGAGTTTTATGTCTTGTATTAGATATTGCTACAGATTTTGCGTGCACACACTTACCCAGCCAATTTCTCTTCAAGTAAAAAGAAATAAATGTTGGTGGGATGGTAAAGATGTCTACAATAGAATTCATCTCCAGCCAGAACTTGATCTTGTCATCAGCTGCCAAAAACTACAAAAATGAAAACACAACACCAACAATTCTGTCACCCTCCAGAACTTGGGATGAACACCAAGGTCTCCGTAGCCACAGCTCACTCATCAGCTCATCAGCTCACTCAAGATTTGCTATTGGTCTCTTTTGTGTATATGCAGTCATGTAAGCTTGTACAATAGAGATGAAGATATTGGACTTTTAATGAGTGACCCATTAATACACGATGATAATTCTCTCCCATTAGAATAAATACTTTGACTTTTCTGTTTCCAAAATAGAGGTATGTATATAAGTATGTATGCATGTATATAAGTCTGTTTGTGAAAAAAGAAGGTATATGATTTAAGAAGATCACCAATTAAAAAGGTATGATTTTTTAGTAGCTTGTGTTTATGAGCATCCCTACTTATATTAAGAAAGACATATTTCCAGGAATAAGTATCTGCTATTGTAAAGGATCTTAAAGATCAGTGTAGTAGGGTTTGTTTTAAAGGGAGATAATATAAATACCATGCATATATGTATATGTGTATATACATGCATGTACATGAGATAGAAGAACATGAGATATGTTCTTCCATATAAAATATAAGTATATATATAGATAAATAGTTAATACAATCCACCACAAGCATGGGATGGATTAATATACTAAATTAGAGATATTAAAGTGAGAATTTATTAAATTCCTTTTGCATAAGAGAGTTCAATGATAAATGAATGTAAGAAGAATGAAACAAAAATACAAACAGTGACAGCTTCAGAGACTTGCTGCTTCAGTTCCACCACCTTGTGATTACTGATAGAGCTTTGCAGTGTGTGGTAAGGCAGAAGGGAGATATCCTGACAAGGTGTGTTTTGAAAAGATAGGTTTGGTTTTTGTTGGTCTTGATTTATAGCTTCCAGTATGGGGGTAAATGGGTGGAGGTAGGGAGGGAGAGAGACAGAGACAGAGACAGAGACAGAGACAGACAGAGACAGAGAGGACAGAGAGAGAGAAACAGAGAGAAGCAGAGAGAGACAGAGAGGCAAACAGATGAAGAAACAGAAAAACAGAGACTGAGACCAAGAAAAAGAGAAGCAGAGAGCCAGAGAGAAGGTTATGTTACCAACACAGACCCTCTACCTTTGAAGCCTGAGAATTTAGGCAGATTGTAAAACTAAGGGACACACTGGTGGCTTTGTGCTCCTGCATCTCCCCCCACTTCCCAGCAGTACTTACTCTCATCCCAAAATAGAAACTAAAGAAAGCATTGAAAGACAAATCAATGGGGATGGTTTTGTCTTCATATGAAGAACAGCTTCCAACAGGGCTGGAAAAGACATAAATACAGTGTGTAAAGGTGAACATCTAAATGCCATGTCTATAAAGGACAAATATAGAGGAGAGGTAGGCAATTTTCTACTCATTCACTATAAATGGTCAATTCAGATGCTTAGGAGACAGCTCTGCATAAACAAAACTCTTGGACCATCATGGAGCTTAACTGTCACAGGCTTTGTTGGTTCCATTTCAATTATTTTTCAATGGGTATTTGGAGCTGTAGAAATTATGTAGTTCTCCTTGGTGTGCAAGTTCATCTATGTAGTCAATATTTTTTTTCTGCATCATTTTGCTCTAGGTCAGATGAATTCATTGGGGCTAATCAAAGAAAATTTTCTAAAAGATCTGTCGGGAGTTTACAAAACAAGGCTGCCAGTTTCCTTAGAACAGATACAATTACCTAAGCTAGTTCTCATCCTCCAGTACATCAGTTTTGTGTATGTGTAAATCTCTCAAAGTTGACCAGGCTGGCTTTGAACTTGTGGTCCTCCTGCCTCACCCTCTCCAGGAGCTGGGATTACAGGAATTACACTGCACTTAGTGTAGTTGCCTGTTGTTTATTTATTTATTTAGTACAGGGTCTCTCTATGAAGCTCAGGCTCCTAGTGATCCTCCTGCCTCAGCCTCCCCAGCCCTGGGATTATAGACATGCCCCACCATGCCTGGTTTCAGTGGCTGGATCAGTGTAGGGCCAGCCTGCATGTGGTGCTGGGCATAGAACCAGTGTCTGTGTTTGCCTGACTGGTGCTAGCTTGCTGAGCTATCTCCCCAGCCTGTTGCCTGGTTTTTGAGGCCTTATAAATCCTAAGTGTACTTCAGCTGGAAATTCCATTGAATTTCCAGAGAATTGCCATGGAGATCACATTAGGTTGATTTTAGCCCCCCAATACCTACCCTAACACTGAGCTGAAACAAGGGATCATTTCTAGAGTAAAACACCCTGCAGACTGGGTGCAGACAGCACCCTGCTCCCTTACTGCAGGTGAGGTTTGGCTTTGTTCATTCTTAAGTCCATCCAAAGTTCTGGGAGGCTTATGAGAAACTTTGATATGAATACAGAACTTCTTCATTGGCAAGGATCCTGAAAGTGTTCTGGAGTGGCCTGTGTGGAGCTGACAGCCCAAGGAGGCTCCACTCACCCAGAACTTCTGAGGTCAAACTGTGCACCCCACCTGACTCCAGTGATGCAGGATTCCAAGGAGCAGGGGAAACACATCCGTTTCTTCAATGTCTGGGACAACTAAACACATTTTCATGAGCCTGTGTAAGTGTGTGTGTGTGGGGGGAGGGATGAAAGTAAATTAAATAGTATCCGAAGGAGAAAATCTCAAAGTAGCTGGGTAAGCTACTGATAATAGCAGACAAAAATGGTTAATGACTTTACTCACTCAGAAGAATTGATGAAATAGATTATAAGAGACCCAATGCTCAGCACAAAGACAAGGATCGCCTGAAAACAGACAAAGACAGGAAGAAATGAGAAAGTCATTTTATTGTCATGGAACATCAAAAGTGTGTTTTCTCTCTTTTTAAAATATATTGATATAAATTTTATGATGATATTTATTTCTGCAAGAAGGGAGGAGAGAAAAAATGTGTATTTTATCTTTTTACTTTGCCTATACATGTGTAGCTACTTTTTCAAACATTCATTTATGCTAGCATTCATTTAACCATTCAAGAAAAAAGGGATTAGACCTCCTGCTCAATGAACATATTCCCACTTTCTTTACCTAATTTCCAATTTCCTGTACTTTGGAATAAACATTTTCTCCTGCCCACTACTCCTAGAGCTTTCTGAACATGTCGTATGTGATTAGCATATGGGATATATCTTACTGTGTGCTAGAAAATGGGGGCTCCTGGATGGAGACCTTGGACTTGAGCTGCTATGATAGGAGAAGGGTCTCAAGCCTGGCCTTCACAAATAACCAGAACTTTGCAGTGGCGAAAGTGTTGCAAATGGGAAGGAAATGAGCGTGAGTGTTTCTAATGTGCTGGAGTGTCTTGTCTGAGCAACAAGTTGTGTGATGTAATCAGGGAACTTCCCATCCAGTGTCCTCAGTGTGCTTGGATGAAATCTTCGGCATCTGCCGTGGTATTTCCAAGTCAGCAGTAGGAAATCAAAGATTCCTTCACTTATCTGGTTTCCAAACCATCCGGCTCTTTGATGTGTTTAGTCTAGGGTAATTCCAGAGATAACACTGTGAATCTTATCTGTAATTGAAGTTCCACCCCAGCTCAGTATTCCTTGAGTTGTCTGTTTGTATTGGGGGAGGCATAAGATTTTTCTCTAATAACTCATTTTGGGTTTTTATTCACAGTTCTCATTGTTCAGCTTGCTTCTGTCAGTTCCAGAACTGTCGGCCAGTGTGGGGAATGAAGAAAGGGGAGGTGGTAGCAGGAAATTTGCCCAATGTTTACTTTCACTGCTCTCTGTCGGAATCAATTCAAGTATTCAAGTCCAGTGAATATTTTTTTAGCTCCTCTCATGACTCAGGCAGAATTCTGCTCATTGGTGTGCAACAGGTGCAAGACTTTTTGTTTTCATGGAGCTCACAGCCTTCATGATAAAGATAATTAACATTCTAATATATGGTATGTTGGAAAATAAATGCTAAGGAGCTAACATGGAGGGAAAGTCAAGGAGACCCAATGTATGAGCTGAGGGGCAGACAGTCGCAGTGACTTGAACCTCACAGTTCAGAGTCCATTTGTGTCTTTCACGATTTGAGTGACACATGCTGGATGTTCCCCACTGGTACCCACAGCTCTTCTCAGTACGCCTTTTCCTGCCTGCCTCTGCTGGACGCTTTACCCACCCAGATACCTACCAAGGAGGTGACATCAGGATCTCTCGTGACCCCTATGGAGCCCATTGAAACACCTGAGCACTCTTTGCCCCAACAAACACCCTAAAGACAGACTGTGCTGCAGGGTTTCTTGTTCAGAAGTCCTCCTCTCTATCCAATTTGCTCTAATTTACACGTGACTGGGGACGATGCTAACAGAATCCATTCTTTCTTTCTTTTCCACCAACTTGTTTGTAGGTTACAGTGTTGCATCTCATTTAAAACAAGATAGGCACCTGCATCTCTTTCCTTGGAATATAAATTTTTATTGTAAGTCTCCATTTCACCATTTAATCAAATGGTGTGTTTGAGCTAAGACTAAACTTGAGTTTCTTGTACTGGTCTATTGAAAGGAGAAGTTAATTCTTAAATATTTTTCCTTCTCTTTTGCAATTTCTTACAATGTTTTAAAACCAATTTTGAATACTTGTATTTGGCAATCTAAACAACTAATCTGAAGACAACATTACAAAACACAACAACAGTATTTGAATTTCTGTTATTTTATTTAGTAAAATTCCATATCATTTCTACATTTTTATTTTTTCATTCTTTTTTTTAAATTAGTTGGAATAGAGGTACATCCACATATAGTTAATAGCAATTTATTGATAATTACTAATATTTTCGTGAAATCTTTTTTCTTATCCTCATATAGCAGTATAATTTTTCCTGTCTTCCTAAATTCTATAAGACATTGTTATATTTGGGGTTTTTTTTGAAGGGGAACAATACAATACAGGACACATTTTATAAGATTATTTTGCCCCCGGGGTGCGTTGAGATGGCGATTAAGACTGGGCGTGGTGGAGCGCCCCTGTAATCCCAGGTCTTGGGAGCCTGTAAATAGGTGCATCACTATGAATCTGATCTAGTAGTGAGACCCTGAACACCCCGTAGACCCTTCCCTAAAATACAAAAAAAAAAAAAGACTTTATAATGAATCACCCAAAGACTCATATACCAAGTGTACAAGAATCTGTCCATACACTAAAGATCCGAGAATCCATTTGAGGGCCTGAGTCCCACAATGTCCTGTGTGAGTCAAGCTGAAGACCTAGAGCTCATAACTGCCTCCTGCAAGTCCAACTGGAGGCCTAGAGCCCACAACAATGTCTCAGGCAGGCCCACTTCACAAATCTATGCTGGAAAGGTCCAAAAGTCAGTGGTGGAAGCTAGGAAGTCTATGCCAGTGGATGAAGGAGCTGTGCTAGAAGGCCAAGGGATCTGAACTAGAGCTAGGAAGCAATGCTCAAAAGCACCAGAACGCTCCCAAAGGTACCACAGCCATCCTCAGCACCAGTGAGATCCCGAGTTCCTCCACTGATGAGGAAAATAGAGTTCCCATTAGGAAAGCCAACATGACATGCTTCTTTATGAGGCTGAGCAGTGCACCATCTTATACTCTGGAGCCAGGAAGCTATGCTCAAGGTGAGGACCAGAACTCCCCCAAAATGAACCATGGCCATTTCAGCCACAGTGAAGGCCCCAAACTCCTCCTCTCCAGTAAGAACAGCCAAGTTCACCAGGAAATTCAGCATGACAACGTCTTCCAGCAGAATAGCCCAAGAGATCCTATACCTTCTAACATCACAACAGCTTCTCCAAACAGCTTCCCTAATAACCTCTGGACTGCTTCTCCAGTTCTGCCTCTTATGTTGCTGGCAACAATCCTCAGCTTGACCTGCACCACACCCAGTGCCAGGCAGGTTCAATTCAGCTGAGTATAATGAATTGACCACCAGTTAGAAATCCAGTACAGAGATTCAAGTATAAAATCATATATTGACAAAATTCTGTAAAGACAGTGGCAGGACCATATATTTATGACCCCTAAGCCACAAACATGACAAAAATGTAAGTAAATAAAAGAAGAAAAATTTAGTTTTATTGACTCTCAGCCTCATGCCACAAACCCAAAGAAAGTTACCAAGGAATAATACATAATGGACTGCACAATGCACCAAACCACAAGAAGGCCCTGGCAGCTACCAGCTTGGAGACACTGTTCAGTGAATCAGGAGAAATGGGAGGCAATTCTCAGAGGAACTAGAATATCTCTGGGGTTAGAGGTGCAAAATCTGAAAGATCTAGCTGCATGGGAGAGGAGAGAGACCTGCTCCTGAGGCCTGGCCCTATGCACTAGAGATGAGACCACCACTGGAGCCAGCTTGAGGAGACCCCTCAGACCAGTGGTCAGGGAGGAGAAAGTCTCAGCTGGCAGCAGCCCCTTTTTAGAAGCACTGTAGAGAAACACAGGATGAATATTTTGAGGCCTGGCCCTAAGTGTCTCATTTGGAGTGGCTGATCACAGTCTTACCCCATGTTTGTCCTTGAGGGGAAACACACAGGAGATTGGGACTTTGACATCTACAGTGTGACTTACAAACCCATGTTTCTAAAAATCCCACTTAGGGGCTGGGGAGATAGTTCAGTAGAATAAGCGCTTCCCTGGCAAGTGCAAGGGCCTGAGTTCAATCCCTGGTACCGGAAAAAAATAAAAAAGTAAAAATCCCACTTAGCTAGTAGACAGTACTAGGTGGATGACAATGGCAAATGCAGTTGAAAAGGGGCACTCTGAATATTCTAAGCTTTCATTTGTGAATGTCAGCAAGCCATAAAAATTTCAGTTCAAGACAACAGAAAGCACATGTGGAGAAAATACACAGAATGACTTGCCAAACAAGAGAACACAAAATACATGGAAAACAGCTTTAAAATTACAATTAGTGTCTCTAGAGACATTTGCTCAAACACTATCTGTCAGGAGAGAATGGACCCAACAGCATCCAACTCTCACTGGGGTGCTGAGTAGTATGCAGATGCTGGTGAAAACAAAATGAAACAAATGAAGTAATACTGTGATACCAGTGGGCAATAATAGAAATGAAAATTATGGTTAGCAAGGACACGAAAATTTAAATGCAAGCGATGTAACTGGCATTCTAGAAAAACAAAACAAATAATTTAAAAAATACATCCTTGAGTAGAAAACTGATCTGAGCTTTTAAAAAGGCCCAACAAATCTTGTCAAGCAGAGAAAAAAGATACATATATAGATACATCACAGTGACATTTCAGATTTGGAAAGTTTTCCTATAGAGTACTCTTCCATATTAGAAAATACAGCAGCTCATCGACAAATGAAATGGAATACGCATGATTCACTGACAGTCAAGATCCAGCAAAAGGAGAAAGAGCACCAGTCATCTTATGATAGTCTACTTCTAAAAGTCTGTATAGGATTGGGGACAGGAAGAATGATGATATAGTAGTAGAACTACAAAAAGCTGTTCCACGCAAGTGGCAGATCAACAGAAGTGAACTATGGAAAGTGAGCACAAGGTGGCTTTTGGAGGTGAGATTTGGGATAGGAGGGGCGATGGACCTGCGAGGATATGCTGAAATTGTGTTTCTGGTGCCAGAGACAAAAAATAAACAAAACAAGAGCCAGAACTGGAGCTGATTGCTGATATCAAACTGAAAGTAAGTGAAGTAATCTGGAAAGAATAGGTACCAAGTACAGAAGGACCAACTTCCTTCCTCTCCTGGGCTCTCAGGCAGCTGGTATGCCTAGCACACACTGATCAAGCCAGCT